AGGAGCAGGCGGGCTGAGAGCTGGGTCCTGGGGTCGCAGGCGGGACTCGGGCTGCAGGGGGGGCTGCCGGGGCAGCTGCCTGCTGGTGCCAGCCCTCTGGACCGGTGCCCAGATGCAGGGTCTCCCCGCAGAGCAATCTCAGTCTGCAAGGTGTGCGCCCACCGAGGAGTCGGGGAGACAGACGCCTCCCCACGGAACCACCCTGTGCTGGACCGGGTGCTGGATCCCATCAGAACAGGAGCCACGTGTGCCCTGTGCCCACGAGGAGAGGCACGCGCCTCCCGATGAGTGGAAAGATGATTAAAAAAAAAAATCAAGCGGAGAAAGAGAACATGTAAACAGCATCCACACGGAACTGTCAGAACCGAGAACTAAAGCGTGAATGTCACACGCGCCAGATGGGCCTCGTTAGCAGATGGGAGGAGAGAGACTCGTCAGCGCACTTGAGCCCACGATGATGGAAACCACTCACCATGAGGAAGGGGTGGCATTGAAGGCGGCACCTCCGTCGCTGGGGACAGGCATCGCTCGCACCCGGGGTCCCGCCTCCATAAAGGGGCGGAGCCTCGGGCAGTGAGAAGGAGCCGGGTCACCTGATGGACAGCGGACAGCAGAGCGAGCCTCGCCCGGGATCCCCGGGGGAGCTGCAGGGCGCCCCGGGGTGGACGGAGGGTGCTGGGCACGATGTGGGTCTCCAGGACGAATGAGGGGCATCGGCAACGACCTAAGGGCACCAGGCAAAGAGAAAACGACTATTTTCCCGGAGTGAGTAGGAGGGGGAAGGGAATAAAGGTGGGACACCAAGTCCAGGAAACTGGAAACCAACACAAAATAGAGACAATTAACTGACCAAGAAACAAAAATGAGAAAAACACAAACCGTCGATATCGGGAAGGAAGCATGGGGGTTGCTCCAGATCTTTCCAAGAGAATAAGAAAGCATTACGAGTCGCTATATGCCAATAAGCTCGAGGACATCAAAAACGCAACAAGAGGATTCACGAATAACTTTATGCTAACAAATCTGACAGCTTCGGCTAAAAGGACGAATTCCCTGAAGAATGCTCCCTACCCAGGGGACCCTAGACAAGAGGAAGTCTGAAGGTCTCACAGCTACTTTGTAAAATAAAAACAAACCATCCTTTTCGCCTCCCCCCTCTCCCCCAAAAAAAGTCCAGGCCAAAATGCTTTCGCCGGTGAATTCTACCAACTATTCCAAGAGGAAAATACATCAGATTTACACAGGTCCTTTCGGATGACAGGAAGGAAGGGGCCACCTCTCCACCTGTTTTGTGAGGCCAGCCGAACCCTGTCACCAGAACAGACAGGGGCGTCGTAAGAAAACCCGGCCACGACAAACCAGTGTCCCACGTGATCACCGACAAGAGAGTCCTTAACAAAGTCCCTAGCGGTTTCCGGAATCCAGCAGCGTTTGGCCACACAGGGTGGAGGCCGGAAAGCAAGGATGGTTTAACCTTTGACAACCAGTCACTGAAATTTACCATAATTAACAGGATAAAGGAGAGTCTGTTATCACAAAATGACCCGGGCCAGGGGGACGCTCCGGTGCCCCCAAGATGGCCGCAGAGGAACGGACCGAGGTGAGCACCCTGAGCCTCGAAGCCAGGGGCAGGCAGGGCTCCTGACTGGAGGGAGGGGGGCTGTGCAGGTGGCTCCCACGCACCCGGGCTGGCCCCCCGGGTCCTGCTGGAAGGACAGGTGGTGCTCATGGGCACCGGCGGGCGGTTCTGCAAAATCAGTCCAGGTTCTCAATTCAATGGCAAAGGATGGGCTTTCTCAGAGGAGGAGCGAGATGTGGGAGACAAATACAGAATAAAACGCAAACTGGTCACACAGTGGAAGCCGGAGAGGGAACCGGGAAGGGCTGCCAACCGGGACGCGGGTGGACAGCACCTAACGGCCACCAGCAAGGGGAGGCAGAGGGCTCTGTGGGTGCGGCTGCCCCCGAAGGTGCCATCCTGCCCCGCGTGTTCGGGAAGCCGGGCTCCTGGGGGCCGTGCCCACAGCCATGGGCACTGCTGTGGACGTGGCGGTTGGAACCCCAGAGGCAGGAAAGTGGTCCTTCTCCTGGGGCCACAGTGCCAGGGGGACACGGGGGCCACCCCCTGCCCCGAGGCCCCGGCTTCCCTCTGCCGGACAGCGGCTCCCAGGACCCTGTGGGTACTGGTTCCTGGACGTGGGCCTGGTGAGTTCTGGTCCCAGAGAGCGGTGACCTGGGAGCTGGAGGCCCTGCATTTCAGCCCCGTCTCTGGCTGTGACTCGGGGTCATGGCTGCCTGGGTCGCGGGCTGCCCTGGTTCGAAGGGGGTGGGGGGAGGGAACAGGTCACCTGTCCCCCCACCCGTCCTGCTGGACCACTCGAGGGTTCCAAGCTTGCTCTGCTCCTCCGCCCATGCCAGGCCCGCCATCATCGCTTCTCGTGGCGTCCTGATTCCAAGCGTGTGCTGCTGGTGCCCGAGGTGGGGCCTTCACACAGTAGGTCCTCAATTCAGGAGCCTCGGTTTAACAAGAACCGTGGGGCCGGGGAGGCCGGGAAGGGAGGGCCAGGCCGGGCGGGGCCGCTGA